GTAAGAGACTCTTAACTCTAGAGAACAAACAGGGTTGCTGGAGGGGAGGGGGATGGGGGATGGGCTGGGTGGAGGATGGGCATTAAGGAGGGCACTTGTGATGAGCACTGGGTGTTACGTGTAAGTGATGAACCACTAAATTCTACTCTCGAAACCAGTATTATACTGTATACTAACCAACTAGAACTTTAAATGAAAACTTGGAACATTAAAAAAAGTAAACGCGTGGGTGGCTCAGTCAGTTAAGTTCTGCCTTCAGCTCAGGTCATGATCTCAGGGTCCTGGGATTGAGTCCCGCATTGGGCTCCCTGCTCAGCCGGGAGTCTGCTTCTGCCTCTCCCGCTTGTGTGCTCTCTCTCTCTCAAATAAATAAAATCTTTAGGAAAAAAAAAATGCATGAAAAAAGTGGCATGCTTGTCTTATCACTAACAAATATTCATCTTTGTGCTACCTCTTAAATAACTTCAGTGTATATGCATAACTATAGCCTTTAATACTATCCCTCTGATTTACTGCATGGTCACTCTTTTATTTTTACCAAGCTTTTTTTTTTTTTTTTAATATATGCACATGCTAAAAGTTTTCAAAACCTAAACAAACAAAAACTATAAAGTGAAAGACTCATCTCTTTTCTTCCTCAGTCCTCCAGTTCCATTCTTTAGGTAACTACTATGCTTTAAAAATATTTGCGAAAAATTAAAACAACCGTGAAATACCACTCTACACCTATTAGAATGGCCAATATCCTGAACACTGACAACACCTAGTGCTGGCAAGGAACTCTGATTCATTGCTGGTGGGAATGCAGAACGGTACAGCCACTTTGGAAGACAGTATTGTAGTTTCTGACAAAACTAAACATGTTCTTACTATACAAGCCAGCAATCATGCTCCTTGGTGTTTACCCAAAGGAGTTGAAAATAAGTCTACAAAAAAACCTGCACACAGATGTTTATAGCAGCTTTTTTCATAATTGCATGTACTTGGAGACAACCAAGATGTCCTTCAGTAGGTAAATGGCTAAAAAGTATTTGTGTTTCTTTCCAGGAACTTTCTGGGTATATCTAAGTGTGTATGTGTATGTAATTTTTTTTTTTTTTTTTTTTTTAAACCTCAGTGGGACCATATTATAGATATTATTCTGTCCCATTCATTTTTCATCTAATAATCTATATGACTGAGGAATCTGTAGATGTCTCATTTTTAAGTGTGTGGTAGTTAATAGTGTACGTTCTAAGAAACACTTTTTTCTTTTTCTTTTTTTTAAAGATTTATTTATTTGGGGTGGGGGCAGAGGGAGAGAAGCAGATTCCCTGCTGAATGCTGAGCGAGGTGCCCCAGACTCTTACCTATAAAGAACAAGCCAATGGTCACCAAAGGGGAGGGGGATGGGGGGATGGGGGAAACAGGTGATGGGGATTGAGGAGTACACTTGTGATGAGCACCGGCTGTTTTAAGTAAGTGTTGAGTCACCATGCTGTATACCTGAAACTAATGTACTGTATGCTAACTGGGATTTGAATAAAAATGTAAAACAAGTAGTGTAGATGCGCCATTTTACCGTTTTGTGTTTTTCTTTCTTTACTCTTACCAACAAAGTTTTGTTGATCATTCTTGTACATAGACCTGGCACCGGTATCTTTTATTATTTTCTTAACTCACACCCTTGTTTTCTGCGGCCTCTTTTAGTCCATTCTTTATTCTCTTGCAGAACTGTGACTTTATGTGTATGTTACATGATCTCATTTGTGTAAATTAGACATACATTTACACACACATAACAAGTATATGCACAAGAAGTTTTCATGAAGGCCATGCATGTTTCCCTTGCTGTCCAAAAAGCAGAGTGATCCTTTGAAACATTTTGTAAGCCAAAATGGCTTAAAGCAAAGAAGCAATTACCCTTTCATAGAAGTGAAAATTCTCTTTGGATTTCTTTCAGTTGGCAAAAGCAGGTATGAACATAGGTCTTTTTTAAAAGTGAAGGGTGTAAGGGGAACTTTTGGAAAGTGGGGGAAACCTGTTTAAGATCTAATAACTGTGATTATCTTTGAGTAGAGGGACCTAGAAGAAGCTATGTGGTTGGGTAGATAGGGCATATGTAGTTAAAAACAAGCAAAAATACATTACTAATGTATTTGCTATTTTTTAAAAAAACACTTAAATACCTATAAAAATTCAAGAAAAGGGGATTAAAAACTCATTGAAACTTTATGTTAGGTGGACATCAAAGCAGTTTAGTAGATGAGTTATATTTCAAACATAATATCACCCTTTTATTTCCATTAAAATCTGTTTTAGGTAAGGGGCGCCTGGGTGGCTCAGTTGGTTAAGCGTCTGACTCCTGATTTCAGCTCAGGTCATGATCAGGGTTGTGAGATCCAGCCCCATGTTGGGCTCCGTGCTGCATGTGGAGCCTGCTTGAGATTCTCTCTCTCCCTCTCCCTCTGGTCACCCGCCTCCTACGTATTCTCTCTCTTAAAAAAAAAAATTGTTTTATGTAAAATTTGTAAAACAAAATACTAGAATATGTCAGCCATATGTGTTAGGGCTTAAGCTAAAAGCAAAGCTTTTATCATCATCTTTCTCTTATTAAGTCTGCCGAAAATTCCTCCCAGTTCTTGGAACATGAAATTTTCTGTCACTGGATAGCTTCTAAATGATTCCTCCATACCTTATTTGAACACCATGACCTTGATAATGTTGGACTCCTCTCCCAATTAATAATTCTCATTCCCATACTATTTACCTCCTGGAATTTCTACATAATGTATAGTACCTCCTCACCTAGAATATATTCTTTAGGCATTTATTATATTTCTAATAAATGAGGTTATGCTTAAGGATTTAGCTCACAGGCTCTCATTTGTATTTTTTTATCTTCTCAAGATTTCTGAATTTGCTTTCATAGGAGTTATTTTTACTTTAAAGACAAATTTACATCCAGGTCCTTATTAAGTTGACATATGTTCTTAGAATTTCTTGCATATGAGCCACATCTGCAGACTACTCATATTTTAATACCTCTAACCTTGGTAGACATTTCTATAATACTGGTATCTATGTGTTCCACTAATCTGCATGTGTTTCTGAGATATTTCTGGAAAGGCAGTAGTAAATGTATAAGCCTGAGCAAAGTGGGGTAGGTGGAGTTGCTGAATTTTTATCAGCATTACAAATTGTGCTTTCTCATGAGGATTTGTTTTAAAAAGAAGAGGGGAAGTTCCATTGCTAAAACAGAAGTCTTAACGAATCTGTCCACTGGCCATGGCCTTTCTTTCTGAACACATTTCCTCCATATGATACCTGTTAGCTGTTGTAGGGTAATTATATTTTATCATCCAGTCACCTTGACCTATAATTGAACCTTCATAGATTATGACTAAAAATTAATTTGCTGTATCAATTTCATGTATTATTGTTAAGAAAGCAAAGAATAGGACTTGGGTCACTCAGACTTAGGTTTTAATTTAATCGTTTGCTACATATTCGTTTATGTGTCTTGAGCAAGCTGGTTTATTCTCTCAACTGTAACAAAGGTTAATGTGAGAATTAAATACCATAAGTGCAGCACCAAAACATCGTTTCAATAAATGGTGTTTAGTCACAAAAGGCATAGCAGTTAGGAGTGATGATATTTAGTACTAGTTTTTATTTTTTTTAGCACTAGTTTTTAAAACAGTTGTGGCTTCTGATTTTGTTTTGTTTTCTAGGAAAAGTAATTTCTATAATTCTTTAAGAGTTGTAACATGAGATGTCCATCTTTCCAAAATGAAAAATTAGTAAATGATGGGATTTAAAAATCATGAATACATTTGTGTGCAGTCTTATAAAGGAATGAAAATTGAATCATATAATTACATATTTAACCAAGACCAGTTTTTGTTTAAAATAAAATTACGTGGGGTGCCTGGGTGTCTCAGCCAGTTAAGTAGCCAACTTTTGATTTTGGCTCGGGTCATGATCTCAGGGTCATGGGATGGAGCCCATGTCTAGCTCTACGCTCAGCAGGGTGTCTGCTTGGAATTCTCTCTTTCCTTCTGCTCTTACCCCTATGTTCACACACTCTTTCTCTAAAATAAAAAAATCTTAAAATTACCTTATAGTATCTATGCTACATACTTTGCATGAAATATTTCATTCTTCTGATGACCGTATGAGGTGTCTATACTGTTTTTATCTCTGTTTTACAGATAAGGTAACAGGTGCGTGTGTGCTGATGGACATACAATAAGTGGTAGAGTCAGTATTCATACCTAATTTCAGAGTCTCCATTCTTTATACCACCACATTTTTTTAAAATTATAGCAAGGTATGCTATTCTGTGATACCCTAATTCAGCTTTGAGTTGGTGATTTTTGATTCAGTAACTACCTATGAAAAAAACACCTGGATTATATTTTTTCTCCCCAGTGGAAGATGCTATTTTTAGTGATTGTTAAGATGTATATTTGATGATTAAAAAAATCTAAGTATTACATGTATGGATGTGTTTGGGACAAAAACATTATTAAAGTACCTACAATAAAAAGAAATTTTACTCTCTTTCAATTAGGAGCTTGTTACAGTGCCACATGGTTTCATTAAATGCCTTGAGCATAAAACAACTTAATAATTATTGGCTAAGAATCTGGCATAAAAGGCCATTGTAGATAATTTTTTTTAGCATTAAACTGCTTACAGTAAGAGGTAGTGTTTATTGATCATTTACTTTGTTCTGAGCACTTCCATGGATGACCTCATTTAATCTTTTCAACAGTCTAGGAAGGAGACACTATTAATACCTGTTTTACAGCCCATTAAACTAAGATTTGAAGAGGCTCTCTGTCTCAGGCTGCACTGTAGTAGCAAACGTGGATTAGGAGCCCTCCAAATTATTTTTATTTTAAACTTCATACTTATGAAATAGTCACAGCAGTGTTTGAAACAAAAGCTACTGGAATGATGAAACATTTTTGTAGTGAATTTTCTTTATGGACATGTATTATTTTTCCCTTTAGGTTCACAATATTCTTGCAGAAATGGTGATGGGGGGAATGGTATTGGAGACCAACATGAATGAGATTGTTACTCAAATTGATGCACAAAATAAACTGGAGAAATCTGAGGTAAGAATGGAAAGCGCTCTGGTTAATGGAGATAGTAAGCGTGATCATAAATTTGCATGATGTGTAGCTTTCACTGTTTGTCCTTCAGTATCACCCTTTAAGTACAGCTGATAGGCTTATTCAGTTTTTTAAAAATGGAATATACATATCTTAGTATGTTAAATGTTTTGTGACTGCTATCTACCTGATAGTTTCATGTTCTCTTTTTTTAGCCGTGGTTGTTAACTGCCTTAGGTAATAAACACAGTTTCAGATTCTTAACAGCTTAAAAAAGAAATTATATGTTTGAATAATGAAATCAGTATTTGCTTTACAAAACCTTAGTAATCATCAAGGAAATCTTAGACCTGATATTTTAAAGATATATAAATTTAGTGTCACAGAACTATTTCTGAAAAAAGAGAGGAGAGGAAATGGAATTCTCATGAGGAAGTAATGTTGTAAGTTGTAATTGGTGCTTTGCAAGCCTGAGTGAACAGTGAAAAAAGAAATTCATTGCCTTAATCTTTTAATTCTGGATCCTCCCCAGAGGTCACTGACAAGTTGGCTAAGTCACATATTTTATACAATGATACATGCATTCATGGCTTTTTCTGCATTCTATAGGAGAAAGATTTGGTTAGTTACACATGCTTAGCTTTGTGCTGTTAGATTAGGTGCACGAGGATCAACCAGCACTTTAGCATTGTATAAAATCCTACTTTAGAATTTTCATGACTCTTTCCTCAAGTATTAGGCTGAATATCAATAACAAGCACTGTAGCTGAGCCACTGAAGTTCACATTGTTTTGGTGGTTTCTTATTACTCTGGCAGAAGTTTAGAAAGATGAATAGTTTTGACAAGTCATTCAACACTATACTTGTTACCTTTGGTATTTATAGTCATAACTAAGATTAGAAAAATAAATTTTATTTATAATTATTAATACAAGCTCAGGTGTTTGGTTGATTTAAAGTAATCATTACTATAAAAGCAGCAAAGTATTAAAAATATGCTAGCATTAATTTACAACAGGTGAGTTCTAAAGAATTTTTATCTTGTTGGCACTTTAAAGGATCAGTTTAATGGAATGCTGTGCTCACTGGAATTGAATGAAACACAGGGTGATGGATAAATCCAAAATCTGAGGGTTAGAAACAGTTAAAGCTTTATATAAAAGCATTTTCCAGTGTTCTATTTTAATAGTCCTGCATTTCTCTATATCTCAGTTTCCCATCCCTATGAGTTACCCAAAGGAGAGGCTTGTAATGGTGAAGAGCTTATAATTATGACTCTTTTAAATAACTACTTATATTTTATGTGTTCTACAGCCAGTTTTTAAAATACTGGTTTTTGAAAAGGAAAAACAAACTAGATTAATACAGAAGGTTTTGTTTTAGGACAAGGAAAATAACTCAGAATATTATTTAGTATAGTTGGTTTGCCTTATATTATTTAGTATGGTAAAAGATTTACTGTAACCTCTGAGCTATAAAGTCTTTGATAACTCAAATTTTATGTAATCTCTTAAAACTTGCTTTACAAAAACCTATGGATATAGATTCTAAATGCCAAGAAGACAGTGACATAGTCCATTGATAATCTGTCAAAAATGAATGGATATGTGGTAATTTGTGACTTCTGTGTAATCATCTGTAAAAAATATATTGACCTTTTATCTGGAATGTTCATATTCCAGGTTCTTTAACTTCATTGATGGTGTCCTCTTTTTAATTTTTTTTCTTTTTGTCCTTGGTTTGCTATTTATAATACTGATAAAAGTCATGAAGGACCTATAATAATTGCATAATGGATATTTGCTTTCTGATTGTCCAGTAAAACTTTGTTAATGAGGCAATTTGTCCTTATTTGTAAAGAGCAGTAAAATGCAAAATTTACATTTTCAGTGGAAATAGAATACTGTAACTTAAAATCTCTTCACAGAAACATTTCTATTTAAAATGGTTTTAAATACGGTGAAAAAGGTACTGCTATTTTTCATCTGCTGATCATCTTTTAACTTGTACAGTCAGCAGTTATCTGCTACAAATGAGTTTTTCTCCTTTACTAGAAAATATGTTTTAAATCTGGGAGTAGACCACAACATTATGTTTTTTATCAAGTGTTTCTCTGTATGTGATGTCTGCTAATATTTTAGTTACAAAGTAGGATTTTGAGTCAAAATGAAGCCATTTAATCCTGATCATATTTTAAGAAATTATGCCAAAAATGTTGACTTTGTGTAATTCTTCAGTAATTTTCATAGTATGTTTGGAAGACTACCACCTTTACTCCAGACACATTGAAATGTCAGTTTTCATATGGATTCCATTTCCATGTTACTTAAACTGGATATATATATCAAGTATATGACTGCAGAATAATCCAGAATTATTTGAGAACACACTATAAACTTTAATTAATCTGACTCTTCCTTAAATTTTAGTTAAAATTTATTATGCAAGCAAAAACTTGTCAAGAAATAATTAAAATCCAGAATATCATGATTGATGAAAAGACCTGGTTATCATACTTTTAAGATTAATTTAAGTGGTATTTAGAATAGCATTTATCTTTTAAAAATCAGTCTGGGTATAATTAAGATACCACTTTTAAGATACAGCATGGATATATCTAGTTGCCTTTACTTTGTCAGAAATCAAAGATTTTATTATTTTGGTTTAAAGATAGTATATTTCCAGTGACAATGGAAAGTGAACCAGTTTAATTCCCAATAAGCTAGACAGGTAGAAGCAAAGATCTCCCAGATCTTTAAAGAGAGGACAAACAAAGATATGCTCTGGATGTATGTCCATCTATCCTGATTTGACAGAAAACTGGTTTGCTATGACACGGGGTTCTGGGCAAAGGAGGGTTTAAGCTGGGTGGGAGGATGGTGGGATTTGGGGGAAGTGTAAGAGGCACTCAGGAATCTTCCAAGAAATAAAAGGACTCCCTGGGGGTGGAGGTAGAGGGGTGGGGTTGGGGAGACTTGTTAGCTTTTGTGTATTTCATGTTATTTTTAAGATGCATAAATGGGTCTGAATATAGTCACTACTTTTTTAAAAGTCAGTCTTCTTTTTTTCCGAACATCCTGATCTTTCTAGCTCTTTCCATTCTTCTCTCTTACAGACCTTTATCTTTCAATCTCCCAGACAGGACAGGTAGACAAGGTATTGCTGACTTTGAGAAAACTGTACTTTAACGAAGGGAAAGCAAAATGATGTCAAAGGCAATTAATTATTTAGGCCAGACTCAAAAATTCTTTGTGTTAATGAACCCATGTAGTCCCTGTAGCCTATTTTTCATTCTAGTTTCTCCTTGTAGTTTCTTCATCTTTTATTGGACTTAGTGTATTTTACTAGTGTTTCATTGATGTCATGTTTGTTCTGTTTTGTCTGCCTGCATCGTAAAAGGAAAGTTTAAATTTTTTGTTCTTTTTTTAAACATTGTCATTTAACTGACAAATTACATTTGTAGAAATGACAGTTTACTTTGTATATAAAAATGTAGAGTTTATTTCAAAAATCATATGTTAGAATTAATCTTAATTTAACTCTCACAGTTTTTTTTCCGTCTTTCTAAATTAGGATTCTAACATAAAATCCCTGCTGGGTTTTGGAAGCTGTGCATTTGAAAACCAAAAGCTGAACCTTTAGAGTTTTGCATACAAAGTGAGAAACAGTGAAGGCTTAGAATAGTGACTTTTAAATAGTACTTTTTTCCCCACATAATGGTTTTCAGGTCCAAAGTCTTAACAGAATTGCTTTTGTGGTTTTGACTAACAAGGGCATATTAAAAGTGGCCAACAAAAAGTGTAAGATAACAAATCTTCTAAAATTGAATTAAAAGTTCTAAAAATTGGAATTAAATATTTTGACCAAAATAAAATGGATTTCCAGGGTAGCAACCTTCTGACATCCAAACACCATAATAAGTGAGACTCAGTAAAATATTGTTAACCTTGGACATTTTTACAAAGCATATTGCCTCTTACTGAAAATGTTTTTAATAGACTTCTAGCTTTATAAAACTAAATTTTCTCTGGCATTTCCTATGCATTTTTTACACCCTAAGTTAATTGTGTAAATTTAAAAAAAAAAAATTCAATCGAAATGATGATCAGCTTTTTTTTGTACAAAATTGTACCAAAATGAAAAATGAAAATGCTTATAGGCCTCCATTTAAAAATTTCAAAGTGATGCAAACAATGAATCATGGAACATTACATCAAAAACTAATGATGTACTGTATGGTGACTAACATAACATAATAAAAAATAATAAAAATCAATAAAACAAATAAAAAATTTCAAAGTGAAAATACTTTATTGAGTCCCAAAGAGGAAAAAAAATTCTGTAAATTCAACAAGTTGGATTACCCACTTTACTAATTAGAAAAATGCCACTGAGAATTTGGCATTGCTTTTTAGCCACTAAAGTATCTTTCTGGATGTGTTTGAGAAGTGGCAACATACAGGTGGCTTTTTAATTTCTTATCCCAAGATGGTAGGCTCTGGCCTGAAGCTGAGAGTACCACTTGTGGTCCTTAGGTCTGGGTTACTTTATCCCTGGAATAGAAAATACTTAATTGTTTCCTTTATTCCACTGATCCAAATCACTGCCAATTTCTGTGGTCTAGTCTTTAATTTAGGTTAAATTGTCATTTTCTAGCAAAGAACCACTTGGTTCTTTAACTTCCATCACTAGAACTAGTAGTTAGCTTTCTTCTTCTTTTTTTTAAATCAAATATCTATTTTCAAAGAGCAGAGAATAAGAAAAGTGGCCCTAATACAATGATGCTGGAAAGTCAGCTTGTGAATTGGTTCTGCTTCTTACCTTGACATGCTGTTTACACTGTTCTTCTACAAAATTATGGTGAGGACCTCTGAGTTCCACTTGTAGTGGTTGGAATTAGTTACATTAAATCCATGAATTGGGCATTAGTCTGCTATATTTATTTCACACAGGCAAATGCTGTGCTAGAAATGAAAACTATAACTGAAGATTATATTAAATGGATTATATAATTTGGAAGGCTTTTAAATTTTTAAATATTCTAGTTTTGATAAAATTTTTTATAAAATGTTATAGTTCTTACTCACTAGAGGGTTGTCACTAGCATTTCTAACCTTGGAATTGAAATACTAAAGCACTGCCTTTAAAGCAAAGAGCAAGCCTATTACAAATTCCCAGATTAAAAGCTATTCTACCTTACATTCATAAATTAAAATAGTGAATTTTCTGTTTTGCTCAAAACATGAATTCAAAAGCTGCCATTATTTTGTTAATGATTTTGAGTCTGAAACCATTTAATACTGTGTTTATTAATGTTGATGTTCTTTCACTTTGCTGTTAGGTCAAAATTATGAATGTGCATATAGCACCTTCCAGCAGGAAGGGTGGGTAAAGTTTTTTAGTATGTACAAATTATTCCCACTACCATCTTACTCTGCATTTCAAGCTCGGAAAAAATATTTTAAGATGGTAGGATACTAATTTATGTCTTAGATTAAATAAATATCTAGATTCTTTCCTTTTCCCCTCGAGAAAGTTAATTGCTTATTGCATGATAAGGAAAAGGGAGCCTTCCGATTCTTTGAAATATATTTTAGTAATGCTGCTTTTTCACTTTTGCTTGCACATATTTTGTTTATTTTTGGGTCTGGCAATTTAAAAACAAAATCTAAAACAAATCATATCCATCCATTATTATCTTTGTGATTCAAGTGCTTGAAATTTCTGAGAGTATGTCTGTATAAGTCTTCTATCTGTTTGGCCTCATTTTGGTATACTTGCAGACTTCATTTTGTTTTCTTTCTCTTAATTCTGTTAATTTATTTAATCTCATGGGAGAGAAAACATGACCATTCTTTTATATACTGTACTTCATTCTTTCATCCAGTTCATACTCTTAACTGCTTTGGATTCATATATTTATTTTTGTTAGTGGAGTGGCTGCAGTTTACCTGCCATAGTGGTGCTCGAGTATAATAACATAGATGGAAACAAGTTATTTCTCCAGTAGGGTTTCATTCTTTTTATTTCTGCTTTGTGTCAACTGTGTAATCTTAAATCTTTAAGAGCTATGTTGTACTGTCAGAAATATCTTAATTTTACATTTTCAATTGTACATAATACTAACAAGTCAGGCAAACTTAATTTCTGTAAATTTTAGTGTTCAAAAAAAGAATTAGTAAAAGTTATCTTGTTGCTTTGAATATATCTTACTAAAAGAAAAAATCTTAACTATGATGAAAATTATTTTATACCTCTCTGTTGGCAAACTGATCTAATGGCAAGTTACCTCTTTTACATTTTATTCTTTCATAAAAATGTTTCAGACTTAACTTTCGTGGAAGTCTGAAAATGAAATTTGTTTTATAGCAGTTCTGGTGTTGACTACTTAAGAAGTCTTTTATTTTTAAGCCCTAAGTTTTTATATATAACTCATTTTAGCACCTAGTTACTGATCAACAGTTCTTTTTATATTTTTTTATGTTTTATATTCTGCAAAATCTGATTTCTTAAAATGTTAGTTTAGTTAAAAATTGAAGTACGCATTACAATTTTTTAATTTCCTACCATTTTAATTCATGACATACTACACAGAAGTATTGAACATGCTTGAGAAATAATTTGATTCTCTTAATTCATTTGCGTGTTCTGAATAGTGGCCATCCTTTGCATGTCTATGGCTTGCTGCTTATGTTTAGAGGAATTGTAGTTTGTTGTACTTAGAAACTTCTTTTGGTTTTACGTAATAAGAACTTGGCACATATATGCTATTTAAATCAATTGCTGTATTGACTTTATGTATTCTCATTAGCAGCCAACAGTCGACACCATCTTTGGTCACAAAGAAACGACTTAATCTAAAGAAATTTAACAGGATGCACTTTTATTCTCATTTTCTTTACTCAAGTTCAGTTTAGCTGTTCATGGTACAGGGTATTATGGAAAAGAAGGCTTCTTGACAATGACATTTTAATTTAATACTAAAAAAATTATTTTTACTATTTATAAAAGTAAAATCATAGCATCCAGTAAAACACACACACATAGCTACCTTCTCTCTCTCTCTCTATCTCAATAATAAAAATCCTCTAATAGTTCATGCCTTTTAAAATATTTATATTCAAATATCTTATACTTTTTTTATAGTCTGCTCATCATTTGTACCCTGTAGAGACACCATCCAAGTAAAAATCGTGGCAAATTGGTTTTTTAATTAGAAAAATTACAAAATCCTTCTATCTGGAAAACTGATACTAGCTCCAGGATGTCTATAATTTTGTAAAATAATTTTTTGTTCCTTGGCTGACAACATACTTTTGGGTAAAAGGAAGAGAGCCTTGACAAGATGGTAAACCTCTTTGAACTGGATCCTTCTTTGATCCTAAACCATTCTAAATTTCAGTAGCTAGACGTTGAACTTGAAATAATCAGGTTAAAGACCCTTTTGAATATGATTCATGCTACCCTAAACAATATTTATTCGTATCTCCAACATTTTTGGGGGGGTATAAAAATAACTGCATTGCTTCAGGTAGGTATAAATGTAGGGGTCAATCAAAAACAACTTACTTCCATTAAATTATAAAAATTGAATACTCCAGCCCTACTCATTCTTTAATTGGATATGGAGTGTGTTATTTATATCATTGCCTGTGTGGACCATATCTATTATTAATAATATTTTACTGATTTTTCTATTATTTCCAATTCTGAGTTGATAATCCGTGGCTTTTATTTCATTGCTTAACAATGTTTGTATCCTTTATTCAGCAAATAGTTTACACTGGCCTATTTTGTATCAGTCAAGATTTTTCTCAGGTAACAGCTTTATTATTATTATTATTTTAACAAAAGAGGTAGGATTACATAAGAAAAAAACCTAAAATTTCAAAAAGGGACATTAAAACTAGTAATTTCTAATTACACAGACGTTGTCTCATATATGTGATTTAAGCAAAGTGGAAGATTTGTTTTTGTTACCTAATTGTCTGCTTTTGTCAAGATGATGTATGCCACTGAATTCAGATGTGTTTGTTGACTTTATCATATCACCTGAATAAAAATTGATGAAATCTAAATCTAACTTAAACCGTAAAAGTATGAAGACTCTTGTAGCTATTTGAGAAAGATGATACATATGCATTTTTCTTTTATCATATTTTCTTTCAAAATTGTTTCACAAAATATAAATATCCCTACTAAGATGAAAGTGAAATATTGTACACTAATGCTAGTAGAAGTTTTAAAATTCATTTATTTATATAAATACTATCTTTTGCATTTATGCTCTTCTTTCTCCAAATTTGTATATTGTAAACTGAACCAATGTTGTTGGATCTACTTTATGTGACAGAGTATTTTTAATCATTCATTGTATTTTTTCTAACGCATCGAAGGTTGGAAACATCCTTTTTTTGCAGTTTCATTTTTAGGCAGAACTTTTCTTTGGACTGAGGCTTTACTTTAAAAGCCTGATTGCCCCCTCCACTCGCCCCCCCCCCCGGTGTTTTAGAACTTCCCTAGAAAAGTTTAGAATAGCCTCCACAATTTAAAATAAAAAATGTGTTGTTTTGAAACGTTTTAAGGGTTTGGCCCTACGTAAAGAAACTAAACAAGTATGATCTATTACTTTCAGTTTTTATTTCACAGACATTTTGATAATAAATGCTGTTTTAAAAGCAAAAAAAAACCCCAAATCTATCATGATTGTTGCAAGAGATGTTTAAAAGGAAACTAATGTAAAATATGCTTCGTGCTTATATCATAAGTCAGTAAGTGAAGATATAGGTGAAGATCTAGTTTTTGTCATTTGAATATTGGATATGACATCTAAGTAGTACAGGCTAATTTGTGTCTAATTTTTACATTCTTATCATTGCATGTATTCACTGTATTTTTTAATGTGCCAACTGTTTTCTCTTTATAGATTAGAATTTCAAAGTAACCATCCCATACCAATTCAGAATACCATCTGGTCTCTAAGCTTGTTATTTGAAAACCTTTTATCATTGTCCTCCATTTTTAGTGTTTTTTGATGAGCTACACCTGAGTTGTACATTTTCTTTTCTTTTATTTGCTTCTGTATACAGGCTGGCTTAGCGGGAGCTCCAGCCCGTGCTGTATCAGCTGTAAAGAATATGAATCTTCCTGAGATCCCAAGAAATATTAACATTGGTGACATCAGTATAAAAGTGCCAAACCTGCCCTCTTTTAAATAAAAAATTAAAAAGGCCACTCCCAGGTAAAATCCAGGGGGAAAAGTCATCTAAGTTTACCATGCAGTTGTTTACCAAAAATAGAGGAGGAGAGTCTTAACTTTTGCTCTTGGATTTAAGTCAAGGTACTGTATAAAATTTGTGTAAAATCGGTATGGAAGTTCAATGTTGCTTTTCTTGCTCAGTGATTTTGAAGAAATTGGGTAGTTCCAGTGTGATATTTCTCTTTCTTTTCTAAACTGCATTCCTGTGCCCACCTAAGGCATGCCTCTATGTATTGGCTGCTACAGTATTTCAAAAAGTGTTTGAGACATTTCTTTAAATTATGTACAATCCAAAATGTTGGTGTTTTGTACGGATCACAAGTGCAGCATTCCATAATTCTTTGTTATTTGTCACAATTGTTATTTAAAGAACCAAGTATGTATTGCATGAAAACATTATGACCTTTTCCTCTTAGTTTAAATAAACTCCAAGGTAACTGGACTTCTAAAGCACCTTTCTGTTTGCCTGATATCTACTTTAGCAATAATTTTTTTACGACCCTCTGACTCAACAAAGTAAATAAAAGTATATTTTATCACTGTTAAACAGCTGTTGATGTTGATTTATTTAATTCATACTTCTGTTTTTAATATTCAAAAACTCACTAAATTATTCTAAAACTCAGTTATTTCACAAATCAAGAGGAGTGTATCGGGTAGTGTTGTGTACAGATGTGAGGTGGGAGATGACAGATCTTTTTCTGAAATCCATATTGAGAAATTAGAAAGCCTACTTTACACAGATAGGTGTAAGTTTTTCATCTGGTCCCTTCTTGCTCAGTTGATGAAAAATAATTTTGGCAAATACCTAGTTGCTTTTGAACACAAATCCCTGTGGTATTCCACCTGACTGTTCCATCCCAAAGTCAAAGCTAACGTGTTTGCTTAAGTTTTAACAATCTCCTATTCTGATTTCCCATTATTGGTCCACATTTTCTTATTTGGACTTACCTTCTGAACCATGAACGAGGTTCCTCTTCCAGTTAGACCAAGGTGGGTATTTCTGTTGTTGTTGTGTTGTGGTTTTACAGTTCTAGTCCTCCCCAAATATTCTCTTTGACACATTTCCTTAGATTTGTGGCATTTATGAATTTTACTCCATGGGCTCTGGGAGGTAAAAAAAGTCACTATATTTTTTCTAAATCATATTTATCTAACTCTGAGCTTCCTTCTGTTGCGGCCACAGAAATTCAGTCTGCGATTATTAGGATTTCCATCAGTTCAGAGATGTGTAAAAGTTCTGCACAGCAGAGCATTCAGGGCCGTCCCTGGTCTTTGGTCATTTGACAAATGTGTTTTGAGTGCCTACTGTACCACCTCTCTGGAGCTGTAAACACTACCACACATAGTGCCTGGCAGTGTTTCTACTTTTTTTCTCTTCCCTTTGTTTTGCGGGGGAAATTGTGAGAAGATTAAGTTTGGGTTTGACTGGGATGTGCCAAAATTAGGAAAACTTCTGGGCCAGTTACTAGTTTTACCTCAAGAAATAATTAAAAGGTTTTTTGTCTCCCAATATATTCTAGTAAGAAAAAGAAAACATTGTACAAATGGCAAAAATAGGCAAGTCATGGAAAAGTAAATCTCCGTAGCCAAGGAATAGGTAGAGATGCTTAATTTCACGAGTAGTCGGAGAATGCAAGTTAAAAGGACAGTTAGATTTTATTTTCACTCGTCATATGAGCAAAAATTAAAACAGGTGACAACATCCAATGCTGAAGAGGATGTGAGGAATGAGAATGGTCATATGTTGCTGGTGGGAATGTAATGGATCGTTGACTTTTTTTAAGAAAAGCATATGCCAAGCTGGGGTGCCTGGGTGGCTCAGTCATTAAGCGTCTGCCTTCTGCTCAGGTCATGGTCCCAGGGTCCTGGGATCGAGCCCCACATCGGGGTCCCTGCTCAGTGGGGAGACCGCTTCTCCCTCTCCCACTCCCCCTTCTTGTGTTCCCTCTCTAGCTGTTTCTCTGTGTCAAATAAGTAAATAAAATCTTTAAAAATATATATAAAAATAAAAAAATAAGCATATGCCAACTTTTGTGAAAAAAAATTTTTTTTAATTTTACTTATTTTTGAGGGAGAAAGAGTACACGAGCACAGGGAGGGGTAAAGGGGGAGGGAGAGGAAGAGGGAAAGAATCCCAAGCAGATTCCTCACTGAGCACGGACCCCAGCATGGGGCTCGATCTCACGACCCATGAGATCCTGACCGGAGCCGAAAGCAAGAGTTGGACACTCAATCAGCTGAGCCACCCAGGCACCCCAACTTTGTGAAAATTTTTAAAAATTAAAAATATACATTTCTTACATACCCATGACCCACTCTCAGGACTCTACTTATACAGCATCCTTGGTATCTTTACATACAAAGTATTTATTGCATCAGTTTTTTATAAAGCCAAAAATAGTAAACTGGGGATACCTTAAATACCTACCAGTAAGGAACTGGTAAAATTGTAGTAACTACCACACTAGTTGTAATAGCAGAAGACTGGAATGGCCCAGATATCCTTTGGAAGGAGATTGGTTGGAAAGCTAGGTTACATCCACACTACGGAATCTTATGGAACAATCCAAATGAAAAATAGCTGTGTACACTGCCACAAATTGACCCCTAGAATAGACTGTTAAGTGAAAAAAGCAAGATGGAAAAACTTATATATGGTATTTTAGTAGTCGAGGTTTTCCAGAGAAATCGAGTCAATAGGATGACTGTGTATTCATAGATCTTCCTCAATAAACCAGTCATAAGTTGAGGATATCCTAAGTCAAAAATGCATTTTATAAACCTAACCTACTGAACATCAAAGCTTAGCTCACCCTACCTTAAATGTGCTCAGCGTGTTTACATTAGCATATAGTTGGGCAAAATCAGCTCACACGAAGCTGATTTTATAATAAACTGTTGAATGTCTCATGTAGTTTACTGAATACTGTACTGAGTGTGAAAGAATGGTTACATGGGTAGAATGGTCCTAAGTGTTATTCGTTGTTTTACTTTCGTGATTGCGTGGCTGACTGGGAGCTGGGGCTCACTGCTGCTGCCCAGCATCACAAGAGAGTATTGTACTGCCTGTCGCTAGCCAGGGTAAAGATAAACATTCAAAATTTGAAGTCTAGTTTCTACTGAATGTATATTGCTTTTGCACCATCATAAAGTCGAAAATTTGTAAGTTGTGCCATTGTAAGTTGGCGACTTTCTGTATAATAAGATTAACATCATTTAAATCAATAGGCTGAGTAAAGCAGATTGTTCTTCCTAATGTGGGTGGGCCTCGTCCAATCAGTTGAAGGCCTGAATAGAATAAAAGGGCTGATTCACATCCAAATAAGAGAGATTTCCTTCTACCTAACTGTCTTCAAATTGGAATATCAGCTTTTTCCTGCCTTCAGAAAAACTGACACCAGCTTATCCTGGGTCTCAAGCCTGCCAACCTTTAGACTGGAATTACACCATTTGGCTCTCCTGGTTCTCAGGCCCTCAAACTTGGACTGGAACTTCATCTTCGGCTCTCTTAAATCTCAGATTGCTGACTCACTCTGAGGATCTTGGGGCTTTTATCAGCCCTTGTAATCATATAGGCCAATTGCTTTTAATAAATCTCTTTAAATAAAATCATGGTGTTGGTGATATTTTCTAAGTAACATAAGAGATGTATATAAAAGTTTGATTCTGAAGGCAGAAAAAGCCAGTGTCCCAGTCTGAAGACAGGCAGGAGGAACTCTCTCTTACTTGGATGAGGGTCAGCCTTTTTATTTGATTCATGTCTTTGGGTGAGGCCCACCTACATTGGGGAGAGCTATCTGTTTCACTCAGTATACTGACTTAAATGTTAATTTCAACCAAAATCCCTCACAGAAGCACCCACAATGTTTAAGCAAATGTCTGGGCACCCCTGTGGCCCAGTCAAGTTGACACATAAAATTAACCATCACAATAGGCTACCAGTTACCTAAGAAAAAGAATGAGTGTGTGTGTGTATGTAGTGTGTGCGTGTATTGTTTATATTTTTAAGTGGAAGGATACACTATATATTTTTAAAAATATTATCTATAGTGAGAGAGAGGAAACAGGGCAGCAATTTGGGGATAGAAACTGGGCTTCTCAGAAGGTTCTCGGGTGCATCCTTTAGGACCGAAGCACTCATTTCCTCCGTGGCTGGTGGAGTTGGTGGCTGAGCACACTCAGCAGAGTTGCTATTAGAATATCCACCAACTGAAGAGAGCTCACTCACCTAAGTCCTGACTCTTCTCCAAAGACATCCCACATCCAAGTTATAAAAGCCCAGCCCCCTTGCCTAAGGCGGGACAACTCTGAAAGGCCATCCCAGCTTCAGTGCTACCCATGCAATCAGCTGAGGCCTTTGTTGTGACTGCATTGCTACTTAACTCTTTTTGTCTGCCTCATCGTACTTCCTGCAGACACTCACAGGTTTTGATCCCGGTGGCATACCGCAGTGGATGTCCTGCATGCAAATCTCCATCTCAGTCTGTTTTTTCAGGGAAGCCCATCTAAGGCAACAATAGCCAAGAATGGTCTCAGGAAGCAGATTCTAAAATTTTGGAGCTGGATCACCCACTGGCAGGCTGGCAGTGGAGGTTCCCGTTACTGGTGGCACATGGAGCGTGGATCACCATCAGCATGCCGTAGCAATGTAATTGTTGAAACTTTTCACTGGTGCTTAACTGGAATGGGATACTGGGAATGCTCTGCTAGGGACAATGTCTCAGGCCTTGGTGAAGTTCAAGAGAAGTAGTAATTACAGAGAGTATGGAATTGGATGTTGGTTGTTGGGGGCAGTCAGTGCATTCGAGAAATGCTGAGGGTGATTAATCACCAATTAAAGGCTGTGTATGAAAGCCAGAGGGCCTCCTTGACAGTATACAAAGACTCATCTCCTGCAGCTGGAGGATGGAAAATCCTGAGGATCAGGGCCAGGACTTGAAGATTAGAGGTCTTCAAGAGAAGACTGGATTCCAGCACCATCGTATCTGCTAAGCCAAGGTCAGGGACATGGTTGGAAAGAAGTAGGACCTGAAACTTGGGATGAGGACATCTGGATTAATACAGCCGAAAATCTTGGATATGGACCTGCAGAAGGTAGCCCCCTTCTTCCTGTTAAGCTTCTACTCACTGCCTTCCTCTTCTTTGCTTGAAGAGGATGCATTAACTTCTACCTTGCAGGATAACATGTACCCTCCTCAGGATTGCCTCACCTGCTCTGACACTAGGCCAATAACTAGGGTGCAGAAGACCCAACACAAGGCTCAGTCCGGTGCTGGACCTGCCAAAGTTGCTGTAAAACTTTGCCCAAATAAACTCAGAGGAGCCGAGAGAGTACATATGAGCCTGGATCCTGAGCATTCTGGGTCAAGGGGGGAAGGAACATAAAGTTGGATGAGAGAGAGTTTATATATATGTAAGCACTTTCCAATGATAAAAGATTTAGCTCTGGCAGAGACCCAGGGAGACAGTGCCCATACATGGCTAGGGTAGTTCTTGGAAACTTGGAGAAAGCCTTAGCCACCTAGCTTGGCCCAGCTAAGTATC